ACAGCATCCTTCTAGAGCTGTCAGCAACCACTTGCATGCTGACCACACAGCCTCCACCAAAGCATCCCTACCAGCTATGTGGCTGGGGCTGCCCTTGTTTAGTTCTATTCACAGCACAGTTGTAGCCAAAGAAGCACATGCTATATCTTCTCATCTCACTTCAGCACCATTACCTCTGAGCACCACTACCTCCCCCAAAGGTCCATTCATGGCCTTATCGCATTTTTTATATGCATGCTTTCTGTCAGCAGCATTACCTGAAAACACAACATCACATTCCACACTTAATTAGATAACTACCAGCTCTACTTGACCCTGGGGTGGTATTAAAGGGTCATGCCTAAACTCATCACACAAAGATTTTGTTTGCCAGAAAAAGATAAATGTGTGTAAGTCAATGGCTTTCTTAATATTCTCAAAACAATGCACTGTACTGTGCTGTGCTTAATACAAAGTGCTGCCATCTTCTTCTTCCTTGCATATTCCAGTAATTCAAAACAAAGTTGGTAAATGAAAATCCATACAGGAAATGCGATATCATTATAGCAGACGATATATTGGATACTACTGTTGGAAACTGGGTTCTGTTAAAAATTAGAATTTTCCAAGAATTTGTTCTTAGAAAGAATGATAAACTAGCCCTCATTAAAAAAAGGCAAGGGGATAACTGTCATCCTGAGTATCTTGCCATGGTCATTGGCTGAGAGCTTAGATAGGTAATTGACAACAACATAGATGGTCAGCCCCCAAAATAACGTATATCAAGGGATAGGTGGGGAGAGATGGTTATCAAGGGAAACAAGCAATTATATCTTGGGAGAAGACCAGGAATTCACCTACATCAACCTGAAAGACAAAAGATACCACTTCAAAACCACCGACCTAGTTCCTCCATTCCACAGGACAGATTCAGGATCAATCAGGCATTCTTATCTGTCATAGTCATATACTTTCTGTGCCTAATTAATTGATGTTGCACATCTTATCTGCTGCTTCTTGACAAGTGCTATAAACTATAAGAAAATTGCTACAAGCTGTCAACTCCTAAATTAAGTAGGAAGCTGTAATCACGAAAACCCAAAATCAACACCATAGGATTCACCGATTGCACAGAGTGCATAGATGATGAATGGGCATGGAAATGGTTTGGCTTAGCTTAGCAAAAAGGATATGAGGGGTTCTGGCAGCGAGTGGAGCAGCACAGCTTGAAATCAAGCATATGACGGGGTAGGGGGTCAGTCGAGAGCATGTGACACTACAGATGGGGCATGGGAGAGAATAGAGATGACAAGTGAGGCATTTATTATTATAACTGAAATGAAGTACTTCTGGGATCAATGAGTCTGGCTCTAGCATGCCCTACCCCTCCCAAGGAAATTAAAAAAAAAACTTTTTGCAGGGACGCACATTCTCCCGTGAGCAGCAGACCGAACTGAGGAATTTGCCCGACTTCCACTACCTGCAAAGACAAAATATCGAGCCCGTTTTCTAAAAGCTGTCACTTCTACCAATGCAATCTTACTTCATTATGGTACTAAAATGTCACCCAATTGAAACCATGTGCTGAAATCGTATTATAGGATTCAAATATACAATCCTCTTAATAAGATGCTGCCGCGTTGTTATCCAAGCCAGCCCGTCATCTGACAAAGGCCGAACTGATCTCATGTTTTCAGAGTACTGCCCTTCCTGTTTTCACAGCACAGAATCTAGTTGCTTGTAAAATTGTTTACCAGTTTCAACCATTCTTCCTACCGCAGGTGTTCATCATTTCATATATGAATTACCACATGACCTCTGTTCAGAAAAATGCATAACTTTGAGTGGAATTTATACTTTATCTCTTGCATTAGGAAAGAAGACATAGTTTTGTTTCATTTCTGCTTGTTCTCGTGGCTTGGTACAAAGAGATCTGGAAGCTTATTTTGGTCACGCACATTCTAAAAAGAACACTTCAGTGCAGTAACAAAAGGTACAGCAAAAATGAAACTACGCTAATCGCTTAGAGGTCCAATAACATGCACAGAAAGACAGAACAATGCCAGAAAGGCAGTCTGTATGAGGTATATGCTAGTGAAGATCTGCTCAAATGGGATGTACGGAACTCATGCAGTTGCTTTGAAGTTAAAAGTTATAGTGAGCTTAGTTTGCAATTTGATTTAGGTGTCTTCGGGAGAGATATTAACTGAAGGGAAACCGAAGGGGAAAAAAAAAAATCTAGTGACCGCATAGAAATTGGTTAAAAGGAAACTGGTGGCAGCTGTGCCAGCCTGAGCAAGGAGCTTTATTGTGTAAATTTTTCATTGAGGTTTCAGTGTTTCTAAGGGAATCTCAGGGTTAAAAGGAATAGCATGAACTGAATCCACTCTAAATGTCCACAATGAAATCTTTCCAAACTTTTTGTCTAGGTCAATACAGCATGATTTTTTTTAAAAAATAGTGTTTAATAAATATTTTATTCTTTGTGTTAAAGTGCATTGGAAGCCTCTTGTAAATGTGTTCTGTAACCGACCAACTTGGTTGAAAGAAAACAAAGTTAGGGTTTAATAAATCAAGATTCACTTTGGGATCTGACTTGCCCAAAATGAAAATCAGCTGGGATCATTACAATCCACGATTCTTGTACCTATAAGATCAGGTGTTTCAGGAATGCCAAAGTATGGTTTACTGACCATTCTGCATCAACTGTAGCAAGTGGATGATAAATGCTCACTTCTTGAAATGCTGTCTTCCTTGAAACATTGTTGGAGTGGGCAACGGGGCTAGTTGAAGCTATTCATGGTTTTATACTTTCTAATATTACACTAAACTTCAGAAGTAATGTTTATAGGGATATTAATTTTTACTAGAAAATGATTATTGCAAACCCTTGCATTTTGCTGCAAATTCTGACTTAATGCAATTAGTTTTAAAATCCAATTTAAAATCCAATGTTACTTTATTCCAAGAATATTTACAAACTATTTCAAATGGAAATGCTGAATGATCTAAGACCTAGCATTATATATGCCTATCATGACTGATTTGCAACTCAAATGAAGGTCAAAGAATCTATGACAGGTCAGGCAGAACTTGCTCAACTAGTTGTCAAATTATTTGCAAATGTGCTCCTCAGGACTGCTGGAGATGTTTGGAAGAGGAATTGCAAACCTCTTCCTCCACCCAACCTCCATCTCCAAACAGGACACTGTTCATCACATCACGTACTGTATAACTCGTTTATACACAGCACAAGACTCTGCTTCCCCAAACCATTTTTTTTTTGCTATGACCCCATTTTGCTGCTTCATATTTGGCACGACCCCAGAGAAGGCTGGCAGAAGGGTGTGAGGAGCTGTTGTTGTGAAACTTTTTTTTGGGGGGGGGGAAGGGGTTCACAGAACAGGGTTACAGGTACAAAAATTTCAGGCACCAACCATCTTGCAGGCTCTGTTGGTGTCAGTGATTTTGGCCCCTTGTGTTCATTGGATTAAGTCTGTCCCACAGGCAAAAAAAAAAGTGTACATTTAAACAGTCCCAAGGACTGCCAAATTTGACTGTGTCGCCACTGCTGCCACGGAACTGGCAACACTAATTGCTCATCCCCCTGTCCCACTGGGGGTTGTGACCCATAGTTTGGGAACCCACGGCAAAGGGAATAGCGCTTAGTATCAAATTCTCATTGGCAAACCTGTAACCTGTTTGACTGTAACTGAAGTATTAAGTAATCTCACAAGCACTACTCAAAGTTGCAAGGACACAAGGCGGAATAAAGATAACCATATTAAGCAGTAACTCATAGTTTGTTCCTCTTGAGATCAGTGTTGAAATTGCATTGTTAAAGCAAACTCTTCTAGTATTTTGTATGCCATGACTTTGATACAAAATTAGTAGACGAGAAACACCTCAAGTAAGAATCAAAACTTTAAATCAATGGGTTTTCACCAACCTTTAGATATGTGTATGCTTATTACAGTGAAAGTTAAAAAAATATTCACCCAGTTATATCCAACTTACAGGCACCTTTTTAGTACCAGGAATAAATGATCTAAAGGAAGATTTTTATCACTAATATTTCAAACAAAGTGAAGAATATTTTTCAATAGAAAGTAAAGACATGCACAGCATGAAAGTATTTAATTTCAGTACTTAAGATGAAGTGCTGATGTGTGCTGCGTCCAGTTGTAGTCAATACAACACCAAAAGCAAAATACAAAAGTTCAATTGCCAGATTGCAATCCTAATTGCTTACATATTAATTTTTATAGGTGCAACCTTCAGCCAAGCATTAGATCCACAAAATTTAAAGAAATTTAATCATGCATTAAAATAAGTGCCATAAAATAGAAATCATCAAACCAGTTACGCATCTTGCTTTCTGAGTGCTGACATTACAAATACAAACTTACAAGAAATGAACCCAACAAGGAGGTCGAACTAAATTAAGCATGGTTGAAGCAATTATGCTGCAGGGTTCCCAAGTGCAAATGTTAATGTCAGTTCATCATCCTTGCAAAGGCTCCTCTACCTACCCCGATTCCCATTGCACCTCACGAATCCATGAGCAATTATTCTACAAACAGAAATATTTGTAACACACAAAATCAAACACGGACATAACTAATTAAAATGAGATGAAGCTAATGATGTTCCAATGTAAGCATTTGATTTTTTAAGAAATCAAAATGGTAGATAGGCAGCTCATTAGAATTTGCCATAGTTTACAGTAACAAGATAGATTCATGCTCACAATTTTCCTTTGGGGTCAGGCCATACTGCTGTGAAGATCTGCATAACAATCAATCAGTCAGTCAAGCTTCACACAGGGAGGGGTATAGCAGAATTAGCCATTCACTACAGGTGACTTTCTGTATATCGTTGCAACTATTTGATGGAAGCATGAAAAGGGGGAGGTTTGTGCTGTGTGAAAACTTTGTAGGTGAAACAGAAACTACAAAAAGGTTTCTCATGCAAGTAGAATGTAGAAACACTCAAGAGGTAATGAAACAAACTGCCCTTACTTCACTCCATATCTTTCCCTGAACATGATATGGTCCCTGTAAGTACGATTCACATCCAGATCAATCTGCCTGATGTCTGGAGATACTGTCCGAGCTCTGCTTTTCAGTTTCTGAATTTTAAGTGCAGGAGAGAAGAGATCAAGAAATTTAGATTTATCAGGAATGGTCTCTGTTGATAACAAATTATAATACTGAAGTATTAATCGACTTTTACAAATTATTCTAAATCATATTTTGTCAGCATATCCAAAACACTTTAAATCTAATTCATAATTATATACAATCCTCACCTTTAGTTTAGGTCTACTTATTCATCTCAAAAGCATTCATAGTTTCTTAAGTAGTAAAACAAACTACACTGCAATTTTTATCCGTGTCCATTAGTAACCTTTTACCAATATATGTACAAGTATAGATTCATTCTACATTACACGAGTATCAATAGTTCTTCACTTCATCTGTGAGCTTTCAATTGCTGGTAATGGTGTTTGGGAGCAGGGATACAGAGGAAAGAGTAAAGAAAGGTGCTGCAACCAAAATTGTTCTTCAGTCAACACCCGAACATGACTTAACAATACAGGTCGAGGCACAGAAATCAGGAGCAAGAATACCAGCGGTTTCCCCAGTACAGAATGTCAAAAACAAACAGTACAAGCTTAGAAATGCACTTCGGTTTGAGGGGAGCTAAATAGGTCACTGAGCAAACCTGGGCATCCATAGCCTGTTTTGACTCACCTAAACAACATGCTGTTTACTTGCCTATTGAGGGACTCTGTACTTCATAAAGTATCAGATCATCTCACAATCAAACAGCAGATGTTATTTCAAAAACAAACAGAAAATGCTGGAGAAACTCAGAAGATCTTGCAGCGTCTGTGGTGAGAAAATCGAAGCTAACATTTTAAATTCAGAATGATTTTTTCAGACACATATATATTCACATGGGCAGAGGAGGAGTGAGAGACACAGATGGTAGAGTGGCCGAGTGCAAAAGACAATGGAGTTGTTAATTGCTGTCAAAAAGAAAGAAATATAAAATGGGTGTAAATTAAGCTGTGAAAGGGAATAAATGGGTCCTCCCAACTGACAGCAAAGTAAACAAGATGGGGGGGGGGGCGTGAAAATCACAGAATCATTGAAGCCTGCAGTGGAAGCAGGCCATTTGGCCCACTGAATCTGTACCGACTCTCTGAAGAGCATCCCACCCATACCCAACCCTCTACTGTAACCCCATAACCCCGCATGAGCCATGGCTAATCCACCTAGCCTGCACATCCCTATTCATCTGCAGGCACAGGGAGAATATGCAAACTCCACCCAGACAAATCATCCAAAGCTGGAATTGAACCTGGGTCTCTGGCACTGAGGTAACAGTACTAACCGGTGAACCGCCATGCCACCCACAAAACGGAGAACAGACATCATGTAGTCAAAATTTGAAGTTATGGAATTCAACATACAGTCCTCCAGGTTGGAAAGTGTCAAAAGGAAAATTAGGCATTGCTCCTCCAGCTTATTTCATACTTCATTGGACAATTGCAGCTGGTGTAGAACAGAATAAGAGCATGACAGCAAAGTTTTTAACTGAAATGGCAATTAACTGGAAGGTCAGGCTTCATTCCTATGAAGAGCACAAAGATGTTTTGCAAGGTAGTCACCCACTCTGCCTTTGGTCTTGCCAATGTAAAGGAGACTGCATTGTGAACAGCAAATACAGTAGACTAGATTGAACAAACAAGTAAAATGTTGCTTCACTTGGAAGGTACGTGGGGGCCTTGGACAGTAAGGAGGGAGGAGGTAAAATTGTTCCATCTTCTGCAATTGCATGGAAAGTGTCATGGGGGAGTAAGGAACTGTTTGGAGTGGTGGAAGAGTGGACCAGGGTGTCACAGATGCAATGGTCCTTGCGGAATACCTACTGTTGAGGGGAGGTTAAGATGTGTTTGGTGATATCCTGCTGGATGTGGCAGGAATGGTTGAGGAGGATCTTTTGAATGTGGAGAATAGTGCAGTGGAAAGTGAGGACAAGGGGAACCCTATCATTGTTCTCAGAGGGTGGAAAGGGGCAAGGGCAGAAGTATGGGAAATGGGTTGGATATGGCTGAGGACACTCAACCACAATGGGTGGGTTATCTTCATTTGAGGGAAAAGGAGGTCATGTCAGAAACAGCTGAGAGTAAGGTAGAATCATCAGAACAGATGTGATGCAGACAGAGAAACTGGGAGAATTGAATGCAATTTTTGCAGGAAGTAGGGCATGAGGTTTCTCCAGTATTTTCTGCGTTGATTTCAGATTCCCAGCATCTGAGTCCTTTGCTTTCATTTGGGATTTTAGTTTAGTATCTATTTGATACAGGTGCCAATAATGCTTCTCCTTCAGGCCAGGAACTTGTGGTCCAGATGGACAAAACCTCTTTCTTATTGCACAGGATTTGTTATTAGTGTAGTACCGAAATCTTGTGACTAGATGGCACTGTAATAAATTTTCTTCAAATAAAATTGCGCAATATAACACCAAATTCTGAACACTTGATTGTACTATGCCGAATTGTAAAAAAAAAGTACCAAGTATCAAGTGAACATTAGGCACAATGCAGTATTCCAGCATAGACTGCCATTATATTGACTTTTTACAGCAAAGTTGCAAACAAGCAGAACAATTAAAAATGTGTTATGAAAACTTCAAAAATAAAAATATTCAGAATACCTTGAAAAATAATTTTGGTCCAAACTTCAAAGTTTAGGAGCCAAAGCTAAATGATAATGTTTTATCACTCCTCACTAATCAGTGTGCTTGAGCAAAGGCTTCTACGTACCTGTGGTACATTTAAAATAAGACATTACAACTATAACCTGCCATCTCTTTTAATTGTAGCAAGGTAAAATAACTGAAGAATTTTGGTTTATTAACTAAACAATTAAGATAGGAATAATAAAACAAAGAATTGCCGATGCTGGAGATCTGAAACAAAAGCAGAAATTGCAGCATCTGTGGGGAGAAAGCTTTTCCCACAGTTTTGCCAGCAATTTCTGTTTGTTAATTAAGATAGGAATTTGTTCAATGGGTCCAGTCACTAATTTTCTGAACTCATCTAGGCTTCCTTTAACAAGGGGAGGGTAGAGGTTTCTTCCAAGTAGCTAATATTCAAAGCTCAGAAGACTACTCTCCAGTATCTCCTTTGACCTATTTAAGAACAGCACAGTCTTATGAGAAAACTTACTGCAGACATACCTTTCCAATGTCATCAATACGACATTGTGCAAAAGAATGGTCTATTTTTAATAGGGGCTGGGAAGAGCAGATGTTTACAATAACTATTGCTGGAGATAAAGTACTAGGTAAAGTAATGGAGCTAAAGAATGATATGTTCCCTGGACCTGATGGGATATATCCTCAGATTTTAAAAGTAGTAACTGCGGAGATAGTGAATGCACTGGTGGTAATCTTCCAAGAATCCTTAGATTTGACAAAAGTCCTAGAAATTTGCCAATACAACACACCCTTATTCAAAAAGGGAGGAAGACAATAAAAAACAGGTAGCTATAGGCCAGTGAGCTCAACATATGTCTTTGGGAAAATACTAGTTTTTATTATAAAGGACGTAATAGCAGAACATTTAGAAACAATATTATCAAACAAAGCCAGTATGCTTTTATGAAGAGGAAGTCATGTCTGACAAATTCAGAGTTCTTTGAGGAAATAACAAGCAGGATAGACAAAGGGGAACTAGTAACTGTAAAATATCCAAAAGGCATTTGATAAGGTAGTGCATATCAGTCTATTTGGGTCAAATGTTAACTAAGAAAAAAAGATGATAGAGTTGAGATAAAGAGGGCATTTTCAGGATGACAACATGCAACTACTGACGTTGCCACACGGTTCAGTGCCACAATTATTTATTACTTCATATTGTTTACAATATACGTTATGGCTTCGATGAGGGAAGTGAATGTACTATTGCCAAGTTTGCAGAAGATAGAACAGTAAGTGGGAAAGCAAGTAGTGAGGTGACAAAATTAGTCAACAGAGGGATATGGACATGTTGTGTGAGTGGGGAAAAACTTGGCAGATTGAATATAATGTGGGAGAATGTGATGTATGCACCTTGGCAGGAAGAATAGAAGAGCTGAATATTAAGTAGGAAAAGATACACAAAACTGCGGCACAGAGGAGTCTGGGGGTCCTTTTGCACGAATCACAAAAAGCTAATCAGCCAAGATCAGCAAGTAAACGGGAAGAAAAATAGAATGTTGGCCTTTATCTCAAAAGAGAATGGAACATAAAAGTAGGGAGGTCTTCCTAAAACTATACAAGGCACCAGTAAGACTACAGCTGGAATACTGCGCAGAGTGTTCGGCCCTTTACTTACCGAAAAATATATTGGCCTTGGAGACAGTCCAGAGTTGGTTCACTGGGTTAATCCTGGATAAGAACAGGTTGGGCTAGTACTTGTTGGAGTTTAGTAGAATAAGAGACCTTACTGAAACATAAAAGACCCTTCAGGGACATGACGGGGTAGATGCAGAGGGTGTTTCCTCTTCTTGAAGAGTTTAGGACCAGAAGGCATAATCTCACTGTGAAAGTTCACCCATGGAAGTCAGATGTATGGAGAAATTTTTTCTCTTCGAGGTAGTCAATTTGTTAAACCCTTTACAGCAGAAGACCTTTGAGCCTGGATTATTAAGTATATCCAAGGGTGAGGTAGACTGACTTTTAATCAGTCAGGGAATTAAGTGTTATGAGATTATGGCAGGAAAGTGGTGCTGAGGATGATCAGATCAGCCATGATCTTATCGAATAGTGGAAAAGATCTGATGGGCCTACTTCTACTCCTACATCTCAAGGTCTTAAGGTCAATGCCCTCTGGAATAGTTGTTGTTTCAGCACACACCTAGTTGTGTCAGCTGACGGATAAAACCTGCATGAAGCTGGAAGCAAAATGAAAGATCTCGCTTTCTTGAAAAACAAAAAGCAGGTCATGCTACATAGATCCGAGTATTTTCTGGGAGCCTGAAAAAGTTCTACAAATCAATATTTTTAACTTTCTCCTCAACTCTGGAAGCTGAAGTTACTTTTATTCAGCTCTCATCTGAATTGAAGTCTGATTTAAAGATCCCAATGCTGTCACTACTGCAATCATGATGACAGGAGATTAACTGGACCATGATAAGTTTCTTTTCTTTTCAAGAAAAGAAATCCTTCAAGTTCGCATCCTTAGCTCTGTTGGGGTCATTTTCCGTTTGCTCATTTTTTCCTGAAAAAGGACTATAGCGACTTTAGAGTTGCCTTGATGCCTGTCATCACGCATTTTGATTAAATGGGACAATAGCTAAATTCCACATAGTACCTTTGCTGATGACTAGTTTTTCTATTTATTGTAAGAATATGTTTGTTCACAATAAATGAATCTGTTTGCATGAAAATGTAATGAAAAGCAGCCCAATAAAACTGATATCCTAAGTAGTTCACAATAATGTAGTTTTCCAGAAAACATTGTAGGAAGGGGAAATGAGTCTGGTGATGAACTACTGCACAATGTTAATACATCACATTTTTAAATGAAGAGAAGTTTACTTTAGCATAAAGTCTGTTTTACAAAACAAAGTATCATGTGATAGAAGCTTCGTTAATCAAGCTTCGTAAACCTACAACACACTATTTTAAACTTATCAAGTTATTAACATTTTTATATTTATAGATACATAAATGCAAGGTACATCAAAATAATTTTGCTCCTTCTTATGCTTTTAACAATTTGGGAAACTAAAAAGTCACATTAGCACAACCCTGGATCGGGTTAAAAGTATCAGAAATTGCAAAAAAAACTTACATCATACAGGTCTTTCTTCTCCAACTTGATTTTTTGTATTTCGAGAAGTAGAGACCAGACCTCTCCTCTTAGTTGCAGGGGAATTCCCTTGTAAATTCTCCGTACCACCTTTGAATCACAAATTTTTTAAAAAATTGCTTCTGTTAGCTATGTTATAAATTATTTAACAAAAGACTTAGGAGCAGGATGGGCCATTTGGCCTTTCAAGCATGCTCCACCATTCAATACGATCATGGCTGACCTAGTTATTGTCTCAACTGCACCTTTCAGACTGCCTCCTATAACCCTTAATGCATTCCTCTACCAAAAATCTGTCTAATTCAACCTTGAATAAATTCAACAACCTAGTATTGGTTGTTTTGTGGAAGATTCCACAGATAAACAACACTTCAGAAAACAAAAATCTCCATAGCTATCATAAAAGGGAGAACTTTTTTTTCTTAAACTTCATCTCCTAGTTTTCACCTCCCCACAAGTGAAAACATCCACTCATTCAAGTTCCCTCAGAATATGTTTCAACATCACCACCTCTAGTTCTTTGAAACTCCAATGGGTGTAGTTTCAACAGGTTGGGCCTTTCTTCATAACATGAGCCCGTCTTCCCAGGAATAAGTCGACACAACCTTCTCTGAATTAATTCTAAGGCAACAATATTCTTTTTCTTCCAAATAACAAAAATTGTATACACAATTCCAAATGTGGTCTCACCAATTCCCTGTAGGGCTGCGGTAAAATTTCCCTAATTGTAGATTCCCTATCCCTTGCAAAATTAAAACAACATTCCACTTGCCTTTCTAATCACATGCTACAGACATTACACCTCTAGCTGTGAAGCTGCACAACTGCCGAGAAAATTCACGCATACCGATCAACGTGTCAACACATTTGGTTCTGCTTTCATACGCGGACCTCTAGGTCCAGGCAGCATCAAGAAAATTACAGAAAACATTGCATGGATACCTGCACCTAACTTTCTATGATTGGTGTACCAGGGCAGTTCTGCAATCTCTCCATTTAATTTTCTTCTTGCTAAAGTTCACATTCTCCCACATTCAACTCCACCTGCCATTTTTTTTGGTCAACTCACTTAACCTTTGCACATTCTTTACCTTCTTTTGACAACCTTCTTACCCATGTTGCAGTCATCACCGAATTTAGCTATCATACATTGTGTCTTTATCCATGTCATTGGTGTAAATTGGAAATAGCTGAGACCCCAGCAATAAGCTTTGTGACACTCCACCAGGTACAGCTTGGCAACCCAAAAAGAACACATTTATCACTACTTTGCTTCCTCTTACCCAAACAATCATTAATCCTTGTTATGTTATCCCACACACTGTGTGGTCTTAGCTTCTCTGGTTATCACTCATGCCTTATCAAGTGCATTTTGGAAACTGAAATTCACCACATCAATAGGCTCTTCATTACCCAACACTTATTACCTCAAAAAAACTGTAATAACTGTAAAACTCTGCCTGATTGCACTCATTCTCAAAATATTCTGCTAGAACCTCCTTAATAATGGATTCTAGCAATTTCCCTGTGACAGATAGCTATAGTTTCCTATTTTCTGCCTCTCTCCTTTATTGAATTTAACAAGTATTGTATTTGCTATTTTCCAAACCACTGGCATACTTCCAAAACCTAAGGAAGGTGTGGAATATCATAACAAATCCATCCACTATCTCTGCAGCCACATCTTTTGAAACTCTTTAGATGTCAGCCACCGGACCCTGGAGGCTTGTCAGCCTTTAGGTTTAACACTATTCCCAGCACTCACTCCCTGGTGATGGCGATTGTTTCAAATTCCTCCCTTCTCTTCACCTCTTGATTTCCAGTACTCTGAGAAGTTTTCTAAGACTTCTATATTGAAGACAGGCGCAAAATACATGATCAATACCTCTTCTACTTTCTGATTTTCTATTACCAGTTCCATTGACTAACTCCACTAACTTTAGTTATTTTTTTCTATTCAATTATCTATAGAAACACTTATCAGTTTCTATATTCTAATAAGCCATCTCTCTCAGACAAATTTCTCCCTTTTTTGAAGTTATTCTTTGCTCATTCTTAAAATCCGACTTAAAATATGCTTCTTAAAATCCACAAGAGCTATAGTATTTTTAAAACTTGATATTGTACTTAACTTGCTTATACAGCAACAGACAATGCATCCTTCTCAAAATATCTTTCTGCATCTTTGTGATACAAGTTTGCTGAAACAGCTATTAAATATCTTCTTAAAAGTCTGCCACTTCATCTCTGCTGTCCTATCTTTTAACTTTGTTTGGGTGCTCAAACATAGTAGGCCATACCAACATTTAAAAATAGTATCTATCGTTTCTCTGTGAAGAGTGCTGTGTTTTTTTTTAAACCCAAAACAATTGAAATTACAACTTGTGCAGACCTTGCCTGAACACTACTGTATTGTTTCATAATAAAATAAATTATTTGTTTACTCGGTATATCTGCCTAAACTTTCCATCTTACCATTTTGGAAGCAGGACCTGTAGAGGCTATATTACTGAATCTTGCGTTTTGATGAAGCACTATGCTGAACTGTTCTTAAATATAAGAGCTAGATTTTATGCCCAATGATTATCCAGATCTGGAAAATTTAAAGAACATTAATTTACAAGTTTAGTTCATGAGTTACATGTTGAAAAATGTTACGGACTCAAAATCCTCTATATTTATTTCTAATGATTTGCAGATTTCACGTTAAATTTTCAAAATCTTTATGGAGGCAAATGCACCGATTTCAAAATTGATCATGTTTACAACTGAATCGCTGCAGCCATGATACAATTCTTTTGCCCATATGTTTAAAAAAAAAACAAATTCAGGTTTTACTTATTTTTGAGTTCTGCCTTTCACATAGATCTTCCTAAAGCTTTGTATTTTGGCCTCAATGTTGGTTTATATGGAGGTTTTTCTGGTCTGGATTGTTTTAATTTGCCTCTGTTACTGTGCAAATCTACTACTGCAAGTTTACATCTATAATGGAGAAAGTCCATGAAACTACTGAGAGAAATCCAATGGGGAAACACATTAAGTATAGTTTTCAAAGGATGTCACAGCATGAAAGGAGGAAAGTTAGGTTGTGCTTAAACAACCTATTGACTTTATTTATGTTTTGAAAGACATTGTGGGCAGTGGAAGTAACAGTCCATATTATAAACTTGGACTTCCTGAAAATTCTTGACAATGCTCTACATCAAATGCCAAGACGAGACGCAGAACAGATAGTAAATTTGGCGATGTACAGTAAATTGAATTGAACATTTCAAACCAGTAGTAGCTCTCAACAGAAACTATTCTAACTGACAAGAGTATGCTAAGCCAAAGGTCAACTGAATTTTGGGAATGCTGATATTCTAATAACTTCAGCAGGGCTATAACAATTAAAATCTATCAATTTTGCAGATGGGTAAAATAAACGATCACTTCTCAATGATTTTTCCATAATCATGTTCATAAATGTAGCTGGAATTTTCATCACAAAGCTGACATGAACATTAGCATATTTGTCCACATTTCAAGGTTAGCTAATTCAAATGTGAAATAAGCAGACAGTTGAACCTGTACCTGTGAGTCAGTGTTGATCCAGCAGAAAACAATAAATATATTGCTACAGGCTAAACAAGGTAAATTAATTATTTTTGACTGATGACTGCAAAAGGAAGTTAACTTGCCTTGAAAACAGTAAGGAAACCAGTCTTGCTGATGCACTAGAAACCTCAAGGGCAATTCAGGAGACAGATCCTGTTTACCCAAGGTGGTGAATGGGTCAGCAACCACAAAAGGGAGTTTGGGCAGTGTCAATGGCACTGTTCAAAGGACACTGGTGTAATATTATGAAATATTTAAAGCCCTCATCAGATGAGGCAAGGTAGCAGTCCACACAATCCAAGCATAGAGTCAAAGAAAAAATGGCAGAACAAGAGTATCTTGTGGATATGGTGTGTATCTTGCAACTGCTCCTGACTTGCAGGCTTTTCTTGTGAATTTCCTCTGGTTTTTATATGGCAGGAGAAATTTTTCATTTAAAATTATTTTTGGAACTTTTATACTCCAAAAAAAATCAAAGAAGAAAAGCATATGCAAGGAAGGAAGACTGTTTCTCGCAAGGAGTTTGGGGGAGAAACCTGTCCATGTGTTTGTCATGTGTTCTGGAGAGAGATTTTTTTTAAAAAACGTTTGCACGGACAGAACTCTGAAATAAATAACGACAGGATTTAGGGATCAACATTTCTTTTCGTAGACCTGGAGATTTGAAAGCTGACTGATAGAGGATTTGAAGAGGAGGTTTTTTTCAGTTGATGAAAGTTTCAGCTAAGTGCTTGATTTTTTAAAGATTTTGATTGTTTAATCTTTTTTCCTCTTTTTCATGCTTCAGATTAAAATCTGCAGTTAAGGGAGGGTAGTTTTTTTCTACATCTAAGATTCTTTTAAGACTTTCTTTCTAGGTTTAATGTCACTTAGGGCATAGAAGAGACCCAGAATGTGATGGTTAGCAGATTGGGAGAGGTGGTTACACAGCAGGATCAGTCAGATAGATGTGTAACCTTCAGGAATGGTAAGAAGGTCACTCATCAGTCTGTTGTGGCTATTCTTCTCTTAAACAGATATTCCGTTTTGGGTACTGTTGAAGGGGATAGTCTCTCAGAGGAAAATAGAAGTGGCAGTCAGATCTTGGGCATAAAAATTAATTAATCGTAAGCAGGGTTTGTCAAGGTTTAAAGGAATAATTGTTGTAGGGACTCTCCTGTCAGGGGCACAGACAGGAGATTCTGCAGCCGTAACCATGAATCCTGGGTAGTATCCTGGTGCCAGGGTCAAGGATGTCTCAAAACGGTTGAAGCCTATTGTCAAAAGGGAGAGTAAGAAGCCAAAAGCTGTTGCACACACTGGTAAGAAAAATATAGTTAGAGAAAGGGTGAAGGTTTTGCTGAGTGAATGTAGGAGGTTAGGTAGAAGGTCAAAAAGCAGAACCTCAAAAGGTAGTAATCTGGTTTACTCTTGGTGCCACGTTCTAGAGAGTAGGAATAAAAAGATAGGGCAAACACTTCAATGGCTGAAGAGATAGTGCATTGATCCAGATT